ACAGTTCCCGAGTTGCCCCTGGTGCAGATCATGAGCACTGATCCCATCGACGAACAGGTGAGGGTCGACGCACAACTCCTGAAACACAACACACACACACACAACGAACAGGTGAGGGTCGACGCACAACTCCTGAAACACAACACACAACACACACACAACGAACAGGTGAGGGTCGACGCACAACTCCTGAAACAACACACAACACACACACAACGAACAGGTGAGGGTCGACGCACAACTCCTGAAACACAACACACACACACAACGAACAGGTGAGAGTCGACGCACAACTCCTGAAACACACAACACCTTGTGATGTCATGAAGTGGTCGTTTAGTTCAGTCGAGATTTAAACTCCAGGATGAAATTATTACAATCTGAAATGATTTGAACGTTCTGCTCATGAACCTCCAGCTCGTCACGTCAGGTTTGTTGTTGTTGTTGTTGTGTTTGTGTAGTTTTGTGTCGTGTTTTTCTGTTTTTGTTGTTTTTTTTTGCTGCGTCACTGGAGAAAACAGCAGAGACTCGACTTCCTGCAGAAACGACCGTCACGACCACAGAAGAACCACAGAAGAACCACTCAGAGGCTTTCAGCTGCATCACTGTGGAGCGGAAACTGCTCTGACCACGACAGGAGAACCCTGCCGCCTCCTGCCGCCTCCTGCCGCCTCCTGCCGCCTCCTGCCGCCTCCTGCCGCCTCCTGCCGCCTCCTGCCGCCTCCTGCCGCTTCTTTTGATTTATTTATTTATTTATTTACACGTTTTTTAGTGAGAAACACAATTTAGATTCTTCAAATGTTTCATGTGAAGAACTTTTTTGAATTTGAAATTTCGTTAACACTTTATAATAACTACACCTTACTTAGCCTTAATAAAGCATGAACAAAGATTTAATTAATAATGATTCACGCTTAGTAAATGTTTAATAAAGCATAATTTGTTTTCACTTTAGAAAATCTCTCAAAAACACTTAACTAACAGATAACAGCTGCCTGAATGATCATTGCATTACATGTTTATTAGTAAATCATTATCTCATAGTTTAGTAATGATTAATAAATGCTCAAATGGTTAGTTCATGAGTAATTAAGTATGAAATAATTATGAGTAACTATTTACAGCACAGGTTAATTAAGTGCAAGTGCTAATTAAGGTAGTAATCAAGTAGTTACTAAGCGTGAATCATTATTAATTAAGTCTTTGTTCATTATTAATTAAGGCTTTGTTCATGCTTTATTAAGGCTAAATAAGGTGTAGTTATTATAAAGTGTTACCGAGATTTCTTGTGTGGGATTATGGGGGACGTCGGCTTGTGGGCGGAGCCTCGTACAGACTCGTACTGTTGACCATAAGGAGGGTTTGAACAGGGCCTGGGAGAGATCTCTAGATGACTCAAACACGGATGAGTCTGAAACCTCCTTAGAACAGGAGAGAAACGTTTGTCTACATCATCCCTGTTCTTTAAGTGTATAACACGTGTGATGTGCAGGACCGACCCTGACCTGTCGTCCTAATGTGTGTGTTTCCACGGCGACGCTCACGCCTGTGACAGGTGAAGGACGAACACCTCCATCATCCCCTGACCTCTGACCTCTGACTGTTCCTCCCCTCTGCTGCTGTGACATTAAACATGACACAGACTCTGCTGGAGTCTGGAGTCTGGAGTCTGGTTTGTGGACAGATGTTTCCTCATGGTTTAGTTTGTGGTTCATACAGAAGAGAATCATCAACACACAAACACACAGGCCACCCGAGTCCCCACAAGTGAGCGAAACGTCTTCAGACCAAACAGTTTTTCCTGACGTCAGCAGAACTAATCTCTGAGGTTCAGATAAAAACTCACATGTCCCGAGTTTCAAATCAAGTTGCCACAAAAAACAAGACTTTTAACAGAATCTCCCGCTCCAATAAACACGACACACTTTTGTATTTCGTTCAAAGTCTGTGTAAAGACGTGTTTCTCCTCAGACTCACATGAGGCTCACGATGTTCACGTCACAGGAGAGAATCTGGAGTCAGACTTTATGTTATGAAGAGGAACAAAAAAGAAATTCAGGATCATGTGTCGCAGGTTAATCTGAACATTTTAAGACCAAAATGTCGAGGCCACAACAACGAGCCACAAGAGCCAAATGTAAAGACACAGGAGCCAGAAGAGCCTCCTGGAGAACTTCCTGTTTTGCACACGGCGGTGAGAGCGTTAGATCTGTCCACTCATATTTACAGTCCAGAGTTTAACTTTAACTTTAGAGCCACAAACTAAAGTTGTTTTTGCTGAGCTCGGCGTTATGATCACACACAAATTCAGATTCGATCCAGATTTGATTTACGAATAAACCTGAGTTCTGTTTTGGGGAAACACGGAGCAGCGATTCACCTGGAGGAACCACGACCTGTTCAAACCCTCCTGACGGTCAACAGTACGAGTCTGTACGAGGCTCCGCCCACAAGCCTCCAGCCCCACACACACACACACGACAACTCTCCATAAAAACACAAAAACACGACACAAAACTGCAGCGACGGGACGAACGGGACGTGACCTGCAGGAGTTTCGCGTCATAAAAAAAGTGCAGAGTCACTTTAAAAAAACGAAGTCGAGGATGAAACGAGAGACGACAGTGAGGATGTGCTTCCCTCTTTCTCTCTTCCTCTTTCTCTCTCTCCTCATCCTCACGTCTTTCTCCCGGAGACAGGCGGTGTGTATCGCCATGGAAACTGGGTCACACGGAAGAAATGTTTTGTAGCGAGCAGACGGAGAGAGTTCAGAGGAGGACAGTGACTCTGACATGTGGAGTCACACTTCCTGTTTGTGTTCAGTTCAGGTTCAGACTCGTCTCAGACATTTGGCTCATTTACAAAAGAATCACGAGTCCAACAAGAACCACACGACAGAACCTCACACACACACGACAGAACCTCACACACACGACAGAACCTCACGCACACACGACAGAACCTCACACACACACGACAGAACCTCACGCACACACGACAGAACCTCACACACACGACAGAACCTCACACACGACAGAACCTCACACACACACGACAGAACCTACACACACGACAGAACCTCACGCACACACGACAGAACCTCACACACGCACGACAGAACCTCACACACACACGACAGAACCTCACGCACACGACAGAACCTCACGCACACGACAGAACCTCACGCACACGACAGAACCTCACACACACGACAGAACCTCACACACACGACAGAACCTCACACACACGACAGAACCTCACACACACATGACAGAACCTCACACACACACACACAACCTCACACACACACGACAGAACCTCACACACACGACAGAACCTCACACACACGACAGAACCTCACACACACGACAGAACCTCACACACACGACAGAACCTCACACACACAAGACAGAACCTCACACATGACAGAACCTCACACACACGACAGAACCTCACGCACACATGACAGAACCGCACACACACGACAGAACCTCACACACGCACGACAGAACCTCACACACACGACAGAACCTCACACACACACACGACAGAACCTCACACACGCACGACAGAACCTCACACACACACGACAGAACCTCACACACACACGACAGAACCTCACACACACGACAGAACCTCACACACACGACAGACACACGACACTCACACACGACAGAACCTCACACGACAGAACCTCACACTCACACGACAGAACCTCACGCACACACGACAGAACCTCACACACACACGACAGAACCTCACACACACGACAGAACCTCACACACACACGACAGAACCTCAGAACCCACACGACAGAACCTCACACACACGACAGAACCTCACACACACACGACAGAACCTCACACACACAAGACAGAACCTCACACACACACGACAGAACCTCACAGACACACACGACAGAACCTCACACACACACACGACAGAACCTCACACACACACGACAGAACCTCAACACACACACACAGAACCTCACACACACGACAGAACCTCACACACACACAGACAGAACCTCACACACACACGACAGAACCTCACACACACAAGACAGAACCTCACACACACACGACAGAACCTCACACACATGACAGAACCTCACACACACACGACAGAACCTCACACACACACGACAGAACCTCACACACACACGACAGAACCTCACACACACACGACAGAACCTCACACACACACACCTCACACACGACAGAACCTCACACACACGACAGAACCTCACACACACACGACAGAACCTCACACACACACGACAGAACCTCACACACACACGACAGAACCTCACACACACGAGTGGATGTGGAGAACAGAACTCTCATCAAATCTGAAGATGAATCCAGGATGCGTCGTGTTGTTTTTAGAGTTTGTGTCTTCGTCTCACGGGTCTAAAAATAATTTTTCTCTTCCACATTTACGTCTTGAATCCGGACGAGCTCCTCCCGCCGCGCGTCGTCTGGAACGGGGACGATGTGGAGTGTTTGGACCAATCGGAGCGAGAGCTGCTGGAGCGTCTCCGAGCGGCGAGGATCAGTCTCACGAAGACACTTAAATCAGGCATGTCCAAACTATGGCCCAGGGGCCAAATGCGACCCTGGGACACATTTTTCTTGGCCCTCAGAATTCCAGGTGAATTGGCCCAAATGACCTTGGATCAGTCCAATGAGATTCATTTGCTCTTCCGATATTCTATGTTATTAGGTTATTTTTTTCAGACCTAGAGTGGAGTTCCCAAGTTCACAACTGGGATTCTGTCCTGAGGAAGTGGGACTGCAGGTGGCGCTGTCGTCCTGCCTCCACCGGTAGGAAGACGGCGCCAAAACCTGTTTAAATCATCTGATCAGACACGTCACAGCAACATCACGTGACTCTGAGGAAGACGCGAGTGAACCGTCCAAACTGTCAGGGATGAAATACACTCTGGGTCTGAAAAAAAGAACCTGAAAACATATTACCTTGGATCAACTAAAAATGATTTTTTACTGCAAGTTTTTTGAGAATCTACCTTGATAAAGCTAATAATGAATATGTAGTGTGTGTTTTTAAGGATCTTAGTGTGAATAAAGACGGACAGTTCATTCTGACGAGATAAACATGCAAATACTTCAATTATTCCCAGTACTGAGCTCCAGTCCACGACCCTCGATCGTCCCTCTGCTTCGTCTGTGTTTAGAGACGTGGACCTTGATGAAAAAGGTTTGGACACTAATGATTTAAACTTTGAAAAAAATTTTTGTTGTTGTGAAAATAACAACAACAAACAAATGTTGTGAAAATAGAAAAAAATCCAACAGAATCAACCTTTGTGAAAGAGAAAAACCCTGAAGAACATGGACAGGTTCAGTTCCCTCTTCTCTCTCTGTTTTTCTCTTTCTCTCTGTTTTTCTCTCTCTCTGTTTTTCTCTTTCTCTCTGTTTTTCTCTTTCTCTCTGTTTTCTCTTTCTCTGTTTTTCTTTCTCTCTCTGTTTTTCTCTTTCTCTTTCTCTCTGTTTTTCTCTTTCTCTCTGTTTTTCTCTTTCTCTCTGTTTTTCTCTTTCTCTGTTTTTCTCTTTCTCTCTGTTTTTCTCTTTCTCTCTCTCTTTTCTCTCAGGTTGAATTCCCAGTTGCTTTTCTCTCTGTGTGAGATTCTGTCTGAGCCCAAACTCCTGGAGCGACAGAACCTGGAGCGACGACTAGAGGGGGAGGAGCTTAGCCATGCTTTGGACATGATTGACAGGTGGATTAACCAATCAGAGAGAGGCCTGCTCTGTCAGTGTCAAAACAAACACGTCTGCTCAAAGGACGGAGAAACAGAGACGATTTTTACAGAATCGACAATCGAAGCTCCAAACTCTGACTCATCTCAGGTCAAAGAGGTTTTAGGGTCATTCCCCCTCAACGTCACCCCCCAAAAAATGCAGTTTAAACCCTCACGTTGTCCAGTTGCAAAGAAAACTGGTGTAAGTCATGGCCAAAACAGACAAAATCTCAAACTGTATCATGATCAGACCAACGGTTTCTGAGAGAAATATTGCAATTTGATTTTTTCACTCTTTTTGTGTGGCCGAATTTCAAATCGGTCCGATATAAAAAACCAAGGAATCTCTGGAAAGTGGAAATCATCAAGAATCTTTTATTTAAAATTTATTTTTTGCATTTAAGTTCTTTTAAGACGACCTCAGTGACACAAATTTAAGCCTGTACGTCGACTACAACATATAAAACATCTGGAGGGGTTTTCTTTTTTATTTTCACACAAATTTACCTTATCTCAAAAGTACTCAAATGCAAAAATAAATACAAGATTTGGATTCCTTCTGACGTCCCCTTTCCAGAGATACGTTGGTTTTTGATATCGGACCAGTCGTTTCTGAGTTAATGCAGTTTGAAATTCAGCGACCACAAAAAAAAAAAAAAAAGTGAAAAAATGTAATTGTGAAGTCTCGGAAACTGTTGGTCGGATCAAACTTAAATGTGAGATTTTGGCTCTTCTGGCTTTCATTTACCTACACACCAAGTTTCATCAAAATTTGATAAAGTAGGTTTAACTCATCAGGTGATCTGAGGTGGACTCAGCCTCTACGTTTTGTTCTGAATGTTCCGAGAGTTTTGGAGGAGACGCGTCTTCTGTGTTTGAGGGACACGAGAGACAAATGAGTCTTTGTGTTTGGATCGTCTCAGGTTTGGACGGACTTTTGTGTGTGTTCTTGTGTGTGTGTGTGTGTGTGTTCTTGTGTGTGTGTATATTTGTGTGTGTGTGTGTGTGTGTGCGCGCCCTCACCCGCGGGCGCTTCCACACGACTCGGCCGATTCGGTTTCCGTGGAGGAACAGGGAGTCGTCTTTGGCGGGGAAGCGCGGGTCCTCGTAGAGCAGCCCGCTCTGCAAACACTGACGCTTCAGAGACGAGTACTGCTGCCCCTCGAACGCCTTCACCGAGCAGAACATGGTCCTCACCTGCAGGGGGCGCAAGAAACAAGACAATAAACACCTGAACCTCACCTGCAGGGGGCGCAAGAAACAAGACAATAAACACCTGAACCTCACCTGCAGGGGGCGCAAGAAACAAGACAATAAACACCTGAACCTCACCTGCAGGGGCGCAAGAAACAAGACAATAAAACTGAACCTGCAGGGGGCGCAAGAAACAAGACAATAAACACCTGAACCTCACCTGCAGGGGGCGCAAGAAACAAGACAATAAACACCTGAACCTCACCTGCAGGGGGCGCAAGAGAAACAAGACAATATAGGCGAGTTTCATTGTTGACAAAAGCGTGCTGCTGGGAATTATTTTGGTCGGTGGCAAGAAACACTAATTCAACACGACGGACGGAGCGAGAAAACACGTAAAGGGTATTGATCCTGGTTATTTATCCACTCTAACGGCAGACGACCCAAGACCATTTGACCAGAAATTGGTCATAAACATCGACGGACGACAAATCCCCCTTTTCAACCCCGACAGAGTCTGGACCAAACCAAACTTCTGGTCAGAATCTCCAACTCCCTGGACAAATATTCACTTGGGCGACATCCACAATGACTTGGTGGAAACTCCTGGGCCATTCACAGCAGAAAAGATGAAAACCTCCAAGAGTCTGGATGTGTTGTTGAACTTGTTGAGTCCACGGTTTGTTAGGATCTTCTACGTTTGCTCTGCGGATGTTTGAAAGTCGTTTAATTCACCGTTAGCGGATATAAAAAAAGACATTTTCCTTCTTCCGTGCTTCTATTTGTGCGTCCGATAATGCAGCAGGAATTTACCATTATCAGGGAGAAATACACGAGGTTACACACTGTGTTTGACGCTACCGTGTTTCTGCCTCCGAACAAAATATTTCCCAGCAGCAACGCGGGCTTTTAATGCACTCCACGGGACCCGACGCAAAACAGAGCGACGCGGGACACGTTTTGAAAGCTCAGTGTGGGCGCGGCAGGACACTACAGTCCCACAAACTAAATCTGAGTGTAAAATAAAATAAACAAATGATTCATGTTTGTTTGTCGTTCATCATTTGTGCTGGAGATTTGATTTGGCATCAATAAAAACGTTTTAAACAGACTAAACTTGTGTGTGTTCTAATCTTGTGCACATTTTAGACCAGGAGTCCCCAACCCTCCTCCCCTACACCTCGTGGACGTCCAACCGTGGCCCCTCTCCTACATCGTGCGGACTGTCCCCCGTCCCGTCCACTCAACCAGAACTAAAATAAAAGACTAAAACTAAAAGATACGGATCATTCTGCGTCCACACCGAAGGTGAAAGGAACGTATCAAAGACGAAACATAAATGTGTTTTGTGTTGTCACCGTAAAACACCAAATAATCTCCGGGACGTTTATTAGTTTCAGTCACTTAACAGACCAGGCTTTTATTTGAGACCAGGCGGCGATTTAGGGCAGGAGATTCATTTCTTCCTCATGAAAATCTTGCTCATCTGGTCCTCGGTCCGACTATAAGTTAGTTTTTATACGACGTCCTGGTGACTCCTTTGTCTTTTCCTTGTGGACAGATTCCCGGCGTGTTTTCGTCCGTCTTTCTGATCACAAACTCAAGTCATTTTACCAAAACTCTGAAATCACAGGTGTCCAACATACGGCCCGGGGGCCAGATCCGGCCCTCCAACACCTTTAATCTGGCCCTGGGCTGATTTTCTACTCAAATATTTTAATGATATTTTCTATTAAAATGGTGTTAATTTTGTGTGGTGTTTATCACAGCAGCGTCTCCAGCGTCTCTGTACGTGGCCCCTCCCACCAGAGCAGCACAAATGAAGACTTGTCTCTTTCCAAACGCTCTTAAAGGACGATCGTTTTGACTGTTGACCGTGACACCCTCATCAGAAAAATGTCCAACATGAGAAAAGTGGAGCCGAGTGCAGGATTTTACAACAAAAATGGACTTATTCCTGTTTACAGACAAGTTCATGTTCAAACTTTGTGTTGAAATTGTATTTTTCTTAAAGTTTCAGGTTGTTCATAATATTATAATATTTTGTAAAAGAAAGAGTTCATCAATTAAAAAGATTTGTGTAATAGATTTGTGTTTCTCTGCACAAATATTTGAACTTCTTGTTATTTTTGGGGTTTATATGACATGAGTTTTCTGATCCGGACACTTTGGATCAAAGTCGGTTGGACTCGACCCCAGAACAACATGAGTTTGACTCTCCTGGTCTAAAACCTGCTTCCATTTCCTGTTCGCTGCGCTGCTCCATTTTTTTTTTACGTCACTTCGAAATTGGGATTTCGCAGCGTCCACGTCTTTTCTTCTACTTTTTCAGTGAAGCCGAGTCTGACCGGATGCACCAGAGAACGGAGCCTGTCCACTCGAGTCACACGACCAGACTGGTGTGGGCAGGACCGACCTGAAGTCAAACTGCTACAAAACTAAACGGGTGAAGAAGAAAAACATGCAGCGTCAGTGCTCACGTCTCCTCCCAACTCGCCCGAGTTTGTGTTTCTGAACCTCGATGTGTTTGGTCGTGAACAGCTCGTTTTCATTTCCCTGCGGTGAGTCTGACGGAGCCGCAGACGGAGCCGCAGACGGAGCCGCAGACGGAGCCGCAGACGGAGCCGCAGACGGAGCCGCAGACGGAGCCGCAGACGGAGCCGCAGACGGAGCAGTGCGTCCTGTTAGCGTCACACTCACAGAGAACGTGGACGACGGCTGGAAAATATCAATTAAAAAATGGAACAGAAGCAGAACAGACGCTTCAGCTCCTCGTGTCGTTCCCCCGCAGTAACAAGTGTTTACGAGGCTCCGCCCACACAGTACGAGTCTGTACGAGGCTCCGCCCACACGCTCCACACGACAATTTACAAAAACACAGAAAAGATGAAACAAAACTGAACAGACTCAGATCCAACATGAAAATAAAACACAAATAAACTGAAAAACTTCTGTTCCCACACGTCCTCCTGAACCAGGACTAAACCAGGACTGAACCAGGACTAAACCAGGACTAAACCAGGACTGAACCAGGACTAAACCAGGACTGAACCAGGACTAAACCAGGACTGAACCAGGACTAAACCAGGACTGAACCAGGACTAAACCAGGAAACCAGGACAGTTAAGTTCCTTCTGTTGCTGCTCCTTCTGCAAACAGGTTCAGCCCTCGACAAACACCAGATCTGATCACAACAGGATGTTTTTGTCTGGACTCTGGGCCCTGAGCTCTGGTCTGGTCTCTGGTCTGGTCTGGTCTCTGGACTCTGGTCTGGACTCTAGTCTGGACTCTCTGGACTCTGGTCTGGACTCTGGTCTGGTCTGGTCTGGACTCTGGTCTGGACTCTGGTCTCGTGCAGGTTCTGGACATAGACTGGACTTCGTTGCAGCGCGTGCTCTCTGGGCACAGGCGGGAAACAGGAGCTCGCGGACAGACGCGCGTGTCCGTCAGGCTCGTGCGTTCGGACCCCGGTCCCGGTAAATGATCCACGCGCCACACCTCAGCCGCAGCTCTGCGCCACCGGAGCCGCGGGAGCCGCCGGAGCCACCGGAGCTACCGGAGCCACCGGAGCCGCGGGAGCCGCCGGAGCCGCACAAACACCGGAGCCCGGACGTTTTCCGCTGCGTTTGCGCAGACTCCGGGCGCGTGGGTCTCGTGCGGGATTAGCGCAGATTTCCCGCGGACCCCGACAGGAGCAGCTCGTGCCGCGATGCCTCGTGCGCATCTGTGACCGGAACCCGAACAGAACCCGAACAGAACCGGAGCGACGCGGAGGATCGAGCATCTCCCGAGATTCACCGCACCGCCTCTGCCGCTCCTGCCGCCTCGCGCCGCCGCCGCCTCCATCAGCGCCCCTCGCGACACCTGCCGCGGCTCCGGGGAGCGCGAGGCGCCGTTACCTAAACCGAGGCCTCCTCCGCGGGGGGGCGCGCTCTGTCCGGGCCTCCTCCGGTCTCCTCCGGTCTCCTCTCCTCCGGCTCCGGCTCCGGGGGGGGGTCTCTCTCTCTCTCACGCGGCGGCGGTGCGCCTCCACAGCCGCGGCAGCGACAAGCTCCGTCAGCGCGCGGGCCGCGGCGCGCGCGGAAGCGCCGCGCTCACGAGCGCCTCTTCATCCAAACTCCTCATCCTCACGAGCGCGAGGACGAGCCTAAAGGTCAAAGGTTAAAGAGGGTCAAGTGTTAAACACGTGATTAGATCAAAGAGCGCCGACCTCACGCGCCGCGCCACATCAAAGACCCCGAAACAAACACGAGCTTTTATTTTGAAAAGAACAACAGGAAGTAGAACATGTGCGCGTGCCCCCCGCCCCTCCGCCCCCCCCCCCGCGCCGCAGAAATAGAGAGAGGGGGGGTAAACCTGCGCATGCGCACACGGGCTTTAAAATCTCATTTTTTCATTTGTTTTTTTCACAAAGAAAAACACGAAACAACAAAAAGAAACAGAAGATTTATCCACTTCACACATGTGAACACTTCACACACACGTGAACACTTCACACACACATGTGAACACTTCACACACACATGTGAACACTTCACACACATGTGAACACTTCACACACATGTGAACACTTCACACATGTGAACACTTCACACACACGTGAACACTTCACACACACATGTGAACACTTCACACACACATGTGAACACTTCACACACACATGTGAACACTTCACACACACATGTGAACACTTCACACATGTGAACACTTCACACACGTGAACACTTCACACACACGTGAACACTTCACACACAGACACTTCACAACACATTGAACACTTCACACACATGTGAACACTTCACACATGTGAACACTTCACACATGTGAACACTTCACACACATGTGAACACTTCACACATTGACTGACACTTCACACACATGTGAACACTTCACACATGTGACACACATGTGAACACTTCACACATTGAACACTTACACATGTGAACACTTCACACACACATGTGAACACTTTCACACACACACGTGAACACTTC